GCCTTCTTACCTGACATCTTTTTAAATCAGTACAGAAGTTATCAGCTGGTATGTCTGCATGATTGTACACCTCATTTACAGTTCAGAGGCTAAAGCAGAGTCAGACCCTAAATAACTTTTGTAAGTAACTAAACTACACATAAGTAGCCAGGACTCGTGTGTACAAGTCAGGGCCGGCCTTAGGGGTGTGCGAGCAGTGCGGCCGCACAGGGCGCCATGGCAACAAGGGCGCTGTGCGGCCGACACAGCTCGTCCTGGGGGCGGCTTCTCTCCCCCTCACCATAAAGCTTTCTCGCACAGGGCGCCTAAAGGCCTAAGGCCGGCCCTGGTACAAGTCCTTTCTTTGACAGCTTCAAAGTACCTCGAACCAAGAGGCTGCACACTGTACAGAGCTCAGTGACATGGGACACATGTAAATGTTCCTCGTTCTGTCCTAGCTGTTATGAAATACTGCATATTAACAAAGTTCCTTTCGATCCCTAATCCCTCTAAAACTTAAGCCTTTTTACCTTTTTCTTCTGTTACCTTTGACAGCCTGGGGTATATCTGGCTGCTGGTGTTAGCACACATGCTTGTCTTGGCTATACATGTTAAGTTTGATAGATTAGTCACCGTCCTAATGCATAAAGAGCCAAATCAAAGCTAAATACTTAAAATGTATGCATGCATTCTCCATGCTCCATTAAATAATTACACACTGGATCCTTTTGTCAAACACTGAGCCAAGGAGAATCTTTTATTCCATTTCTTCAAGCTGGTTTTATCGTGATATTTATACACTGTCAGGAGTCAACTATTGTAAAACATATAATGCTTGGATCTTTTTGTTTCTTAATTTGCTTTATATGTTTTTTTCTTTTCTTCTTAGATGACCTTATCGTGCTTAAACTCAGTACAGATTTTCTCTTTATTGTCTTCATTATTCATTATCTTCATTATTTATAAAGATTTATTTAGGCCCCTAGGGTTATGTAAACAACATTGCTGTTGATATACAGCATGTTAACTGGTGCAATAGAAGAAAAAGAAGGATGAAAGCCCATTGGTTGTCATAAGTGGCTTCAACATTTCTCCAGCTTATGCTAAACAACCCCTAAGGGGCAAATGTTTTATTTTTGTGAAGAGGGGGATAGAAAGGGGCTGCACTTTGTTGCCATACAAATGGATCATTATAGTGCAATTTTGTTTGTTAAGTGTAAAAAAAGTTCCCTATCTATCATTTTTCCCATTTTCACCTCTTTGTATGCATATACATTTTTTATTTTGGCAACATAGAGGGTCTACATGTTATAAGACTATACAATTTCATTTGAGAAAATATAACCATTTACTATACAAATGCAATATTACAGGGGTCAGAATGAGTAGGCAAGGGCATTGCCAAAAGAGAGAATTTATATTTACAACAAAAAAACACTAACATGGTGCTAACTTTGGAACAAGGGAATGGGAAAAAAGGGGGGTGGACTAAAAATATGTATTGAAAAACACAATTTGTCTGACAGCCATGCTGATCTAAGGGTTTCATTATGTTCTGAGTCACTGACCTGAAATAAATGTGCAGTCAGTAATCTATTCCCATTACTTACGTTACTGTTGAATATTGCTTAGTTGACAAGTCCCCCCAAAGTCCACTGGTAAACTGATATTTCTGGAGGTATTGATCTCCTTGGTCCCCAAACGCTCTTGATGGTTACTTCCTCCAACCTTCATATTACTCTGTGTCACTTTAATGGAAGATCAGCAATGGCAGCCAAGCAGTTCTGTCACTGACAATGAAGTCAGCAGTGGTAATCTTTTCATTTTAGTCATTGCCAGTTTCCTTTACCAAACTAGACTTTCAATAGCTGAAAGTAGATTTGGTGCTAATTGTTGTACTGCTATGTTTACTGTACTGTTAATGGTTATAACCCACATGAGTATTTCTTGGCTGCTCTTATAATTCTAATGATCCCACTGTGATACCTTCAAGCATTTATACGCCATTGCTTTTCTGAGTTATGTTGCTTGGTCTATTTCAGTTGCCAGCTTTCCAAGAGCTCTTTCTGCTTTTATCCATTCTTCTACGCTCCTCCCTCCATCCCTCTTTCCCATCATATCCACCCCTTCACTGACACCAGATTCTGGCCAAACCCTACACGCTTACATGCGAACTACTTCAAAGACCTAAATTGTAAAAGAAAGCTTTCACTGACACCCTTATAATTAAGATAACATCTCTGTTAATATAACGAAGATTTTTCCTAAATTTTTTCACCAAAGTCTTAAGGAAATTTGCATTAGTTAGTAGGAAGAATTAAAGCCCTGACCTGCAAATACTGCAATTTATTTCAGAATAGGTGTGTTATGTGAAGGTACATACAAGTCGCCACACAGGCAATCTCAAATTGTACAATAAGATTGAACTGTGTGCCTAGATTTACTGTTCCTCATTTATTTCTGTTACAGGTTTATATCTCTGTTGTACCATACAATCATCACCGTCCAGAGTTTCAAGAGGATCGCTACACTGTTCAGATTCCAGAAGATGTGCAACTAGGTTCCGAAGTGATCAAAGTTACAGCAACTGATAAAGACAGCGGAAATAGATTAATCTACAATATTCAAGGCAGCGCAGACCCAAGAAGCTCCAAGATGTTCAGGATGGATCCTAATTCTGGTGTCCTATTCACAACAGAGAATATGGATTATGAAACAATGCCCTTTCATATTTTAACTGTCAAGGTGTGTACTTTACCTTTAGCAAAAGATTTCTGATTTTTAAAACAAAAGCTACAACTGTGGTGGAGGTGACTGAATCGTTCAGCACACAGCTAAATGTGGTGGACTTACTTTTTAAAATATGAATGTATAGCTATTTAAGCATTGTTTATTTGTTTTGGGAGTGCTGTCAGTCAATGGTCAGTGGTAGGGGGAAAGTGTGCACGGCTGATTTGTTCCAAGAGGGAGTTTAAAAATGGTAATGATAAGGGCATATGTCCCACATTTCTGGGATGAGAGTGAGTGATAGCTTTTAGCACAAATTATGTAAGAAAAGGACACACCCTGGCCACACCCCCAATTCGGCAGATCATGGAGAATAATTATGCAAAAAAATTATTGGTAAAAACCACAATTGCTTTTTTTCTGCCACTACTTTTCCTTTATACTGGCTTTACAAAAATAACAAATGTCATTATTTAAAGGTTGGATGAAAGGTGCAATACAACACTTTAGGTAGTTACATATTACATTTATATAGAGGTCTATACAGCACACCACAGAGGGGCATTTAAACAGGAAAGATGCACAAAGGGATTTGGCTCCTAAGTATGGACTCCCCCTCCAAATTGGATATTTGGGAATTATACAAGGGTGGTATAGCCATTGTCCGTCCAATACTTTCCGTTTAGAAATAATATATGTATTATCCAGCTGGCTGTAGTCAGGTATAGTGCATTTAGTATATATTAAAAGTATTTAGGTAATTGTAAACTAAACTGAAAACAAACCTATTGAACTTTATATTTTACTATATTTTACTTTGTAGGTGCGTGACCAGGAAGTTCAAATAAAACGGAATTTTGTGAGGATTACTATTCAGGTACAAGACGTCAATGACCATTCACCGCACTTCATTCACCCTGTTTATGAAGAAAGTGTTTCTGATTCGGCTTCTGCTGGATCCAAGGTGCTAAGAGTCCAGGCTACGGATAAAGACCAAGGGCTCAATGCAAAGATCCAGTATTTTTTTCAGTCAGGTGAGGATAACACAGTGATGACTGATATGATGATCCATGGCTTGAGAGTCCTGTGATCCTTACTAGAAGCTACTATTATCCACTTATCCAGTATCACTTTAATTCACATTTGTCGTCACTATGATTCATCCTTGAGATTACCATGACCAACACTTGTTGTTATTATTATGGATAACACTTTAGGCTGTTGTGAGGTAACCTTCTGTTATACCCCCTTTAAATACCACTATGATCCACACCTAAGATCACTTATGATAACTGGAGACAGCTATGACCCACACTTGAGACAGCTATGACCCACACTTGATACTAGGGATGCACCGATACCGTTTTTTCGGTATCAACTATGAGTACCGATATTTATATTTCTATAATTGCCGACACCGAGTACTGATACCCGTACTTCAGGTAGCATGGAGCCGGCTTCCTGGGAAATCAGGAAGCCGGGCAGCATGTCATTACCTGCTGCCCAGCTTCTTGATTGCTTGGGATGCCAGCTCAATGCTGTTTGGTCAACTCAATGCTGATTGGCCGGGAAGCTGGCATCCCAGACAATCAGCATAGAGCCAGCTTCCAGGCCAATCAGGAAGCCCGGAGGCTGGTCATTACCAAAGGCCCAGCTTCCTGATTGGCCGGGAAGTCGGCTCCATGCTGTTTGGCTGGCTCAATGCTGATTGACCAGGAAGCCGGCTCCATGCTGTTTGGCCGACTCGATGCTGTTTGGGCGGCTCAATGCTGATTGGCCAGGAAGCTGGCATCCCAGCCAATCAGCATGGTGCCAGCTTCCCGGACAATCAGGAAGCCAGGAGCCGGGTCATTACCCACGGCCCGACTTCCTGATTGGCCAGGAAGCCGGCTCCATGCTGTTTGGCTGGCTCGATGCCGATTGGCTGGGTAACTGGTCTCCTGGCCAATCAGCATTGAGCTGGCCAAACAGCATAGAGCTAGAAAGTCAGCTCCATGTTCCCTTGCAGCACTGCCGGTCAGAGGAAATCTCCCTCTGACTGGACGTTTCGGTATCGGGATAAGTATTGGATATCAGTGCATCCCAACTTGATACCACATTTGAGAACTCCATGATCCAAGTTTAAGTCTGTGCACGTTGCTGTGGCCTCTATTGGTACAAGAAATAATAATCAAATGTAATTTAATGTCAGATTTTAGAAACATGCTACTTGGGATGCAGAAGGATGTACAATATCTGCGTCAGAACCAAATATAAATATCTGGGTTTGATAACTAGTATTATATAGTATTAATTCTTATTTGTTCTATTGGGTTTTAAAATAAACATCTTTATGCTGATCCATAAAGATTGCCAAATGATAATTGGATTCTACAAAAACAGTATACTGCCATTTGGAAGCTCATAATTAAAATTTCAATCCCATGCTAAGTTATAGGAATTGCAGAAAGTGATGTCTTTCTTAGAATAAGCTCATGAATATTTATATTCAGTGGCACTTATTCACTTATTTTTAACAAGCAGTAAATTATCTTTAAAACAAACTTTTACTGAGCTCTGTAGCTGCAGGCGCTGTGTAGTAATTAATTCTCAAAGTTCACAGTAGAATCACTGACGGCATCTAAGTCCCTCTCCCAGCAGCTCAGCTTACCTGACTCCTCCTTTCAGCAATGACACAGCAGCCTTCCCACCTCCAATGTAAACACAGAGAAGGTGCGCTGGTCAATCAGAAGTTGAGCTGTACTGCTGAGAAAGCTAACATGGACAACTTTAGTGTGAAATTGGAGGGTGAAATGCTGCACAGAGCTTGGAACTACAGAGTTCAGTGAGGTCTTGTTTTTGGTTTTGTTTACTGCTTGTTAAGAATATGAAAATAATTAAATGTCTATAGCCGGTCACAGGTTCACTTTAAGGAATTATTTAGAGTACATATGCTTCCATAAAAACAATTCCTAACAGACCTTGACTTGCAATTTTGGAAGTTTTCAGAAGGGCTGGTCTACCTGAAGGTCTTTGTGGGGCAGACTGCTTAACCTACTGCATCCCTCTAATAATAAAACCTCAAAGTTCACAGTGGCCTATTCACTCAGACTACTTGGAAGTCATAACTGGCACATTTAACACTTTTGTCAACCAAAAAAATAAAAATTTACTATATTGTTAGAAAAATCTAGGAATATTAAAGCAGAACCCCAGCCTTAATTATATATACTGTATATATAGTGTTCAGCTTGGCATAATGCAAGTAAATATGACCCCTAGCAGGGCCACAGGGATGCCGTAATACACTGTAATAACTGCAGTCCAACCTGCATAGCATGATGGTTGCATCCACATAGAGACAACGCAGTGTGGAACAAGGGATGATAAACGAATAATGGAAAAACAATCAGCTGCAGGGAGCCTACAGGCAATACCATCCTTTGCCCTGTGCTTGCCTTTTTCTGGGCACAGCTTCCAAACAAACAGGTCCTGGGCTTTGTGTTGCATGTAGGATCTGGCTGTCCATACATTTTTTAGGCACAACACTTTCCTTTTCTTTAACTTATTTTGGTTTGGCACCGAGTAGTCACTTTTCTTTCTGTGTAAACTGTGCAATAAGCTCTGAGAACATTTTGTCTGCTTTTTTTTCAACCCATTGTATTCATATTGTCTTTAGAAGAAAAGTATAATTAGTGTCAGTTCTTCACACATCTCCTCTGACCACAAAAGTGAGAAAGGGGATATTAGCTTATTAGTGCCGCTTTAAAATGAACTGGTTCTACTTCCACTGGAAGGATTAGACCTGTAGTTTGTCAGATTGGATAAGTAATAATCTTCCTTGATTGAGACAGATGAATCTATGTGCACAGGAAAGTATTTAATGTCAAGTGATAAATGAGCATGCTATATGTTGACTCAACATTCCAGTCCTTTAACATAATATGTATCTGGTGAACCGTTTGAGTCAGATTGCCACGGTTTTTTTTTTTTTTTTTTTTGAATTGCATTGTACACTGACACTGCATTAGTCATATGAGCTCTTCCACAATTTAAAGCAGTGATGTTGGGTTGTTTTTTGTGTTTCTTGTGAGCACAGCTACAGATATCACTTAAAACTGAGCTCCAGGCAAACAGCTTAATACACAGGCAAAATACATACAATGGAACTGTTTTACCTGCCAACTGGTTTGTATTCCTGCCCATCAAGTTCTGAGATTTACACAACTGTGTCACACCACACAGCCCTATCAGACAGGGAAGGAGACCTGACTTTTCTCTGCTGCAGTCCAGTAAGACATACAAGTCTCCTTCCCACTCCCATCCTGTGACTGGACAGAGAAAGGAAGTGTAGCAGACTGATGAGGTCATCTCTCTGTCACTCTTCTCTCTCCTCCCATGAGTATGCTCCTTGCACTGCAGCACAACTGGTTGGCAAAAACTCTGGTCTGACCCAAGTTTAAACTCTGCTGTACAGGGGCTGCAAGAGGTTGGCACAAGGTCAAATTCAGGTAGTTACACTGCTGGAACTTAATAAAAACATACATTTAAATATGTTTTAATAAATACAAAGCTCCTCTAATTTGCCTTATATCTTCCTGGAGTTCAGCTTCAAAGTTCTAAAAAAAAATCTCTTGGATTAATATTTGTGGTTCCATTATTTAAACAACCATGATCCATAATTTATGTATTTTTTTCCACAGGTAACACTGAAGGATATTTTAATATTGATGAGTTTTCTGGCCTGATTACCGTTGCTAAGACACTGGAGCAGCTCACAAAGAGCTGGATAGCCTTGACGATTATTGCAGTAGATCAAGGGACACCAAAGCTTCAAGACCTAGCCACTGTCAACCTACAAATCAAACCTTCTGACACTTCACCACCAAAGTTTATGTTGAGAGAATATGTGGTGGAAATCAGTGAGTCTGTTCCTATTGGCTCCTTTGTAGCCATGGTGTCTGCAACAAGCTGGTCTTCCATTAATTACGATATTAAAGAAGGGAATGAGGAAGGTTCTTTTTATCTTAACTGCTATTCTGGCATTATTAACACCAACAAAAGTCTTGATTTTGAGACCACTTTTTCTTACCAACTCAAAATACGTGGTAAAAACTCTCTTGGATATTACAGTGAAATGACCATCTTTATCTACGTCATTGATGAAAATGACAACTCCCCTATTTTTTCACAAAGCATATATATTGGTGAAATTAGTGAAGATGCTCCAATAGGCAGCATGGTGACCAGTATGGACTTGACCACTCTGATCATTCAAGCTACTGACAATGACACAGAAACAAATGCTATCTTAAGTTACCAAATTCTGGATCCTGAAGTACTGAGATACTTCAAAATCAGTCCAAGTATGGGAACACTGTTCACTGTGGCAGAACTTGACTTTGAGATAATGTCATCATTCTCTTTTGATGTGCATGTATGTGACTCAGGAAAGCCAGTTCGGTTTGCCTCTCAGCCAGCAAAGGTCACCATACAAGTGATTAATGTAAATGATTCTCCACCCAAATTTTTGAAGGGCACATATGATGTGAATATGTATTTACCTGCTTATAATAATATGCACATTCTAACTATGACAGCTAAAGATGTAGATTCAGAAGTGATGTACAGCATCTCAGAAGGCAACACAGATACTGCCTTCTTGATTGATTCTAAATCTGGTAACCTTCTTTTAAATGATTCGTCTCTATTAAAGTCATACCGTGAACTTTCAATAAAAGCTTGGGATGGCTTGTACCATGACACTGCACTGATAAAAATTAATGTCACCCAAGTGAGAAAAACCAACTTAAAATTTGATCAGGCTTTGTATACACTAAATGTGACTGAAAACGATCCTCGTATTATGGTGTTACATATGGTGGATGTGGTTGGAATTCAACTTAATGAGCCCGTTTGTTTTTCGGTTCTTACATATACAGAACTGTTCCAAATAGGTCCATCTTCTGGAGTTCTTCAGACTAAAGGCCTGGCATTTGACAGAGAGATGCAAGGCAAATATGATGTAATAGTTGAAGCTAAAGACAGCAGAAATCCACCTAGAGTGTCTCAGGGTAAAGTTGAAGTATATGTTGAAGATGTCAATGATAATACTCCAGAATTCATTAATACTCCATACTACGTGGCTGTAGAAGATGGCATAGAACCTGGTGATGTCATCTTCCAGGTATCAGCTATGGATAAAGATGCTGGGAAAAACAGTGTTTTAACCTTCCAGTTGCAAGAAGACTATAAATATTTCAGGATTGACCCATCTCTAGGAGACATTATTCTTAGACAACCCTTTGATTATGAAGCCTTAAATCAATATGTTCTAAAAGTGATTGTCAGAGACCATGGTGAACCCTCTTTGCAAGTTCAAGAAGAAGTAGTCATCATTGTCCGAAACAAATCTAATCCTATTTTCCAAAGTCTTTACTACACAGTGACCTTACCAGAAAATGTACCTATTTCTACTCCAGTTTTACACATTCAGGCGCGAAGTCCAGAAGGATTCCGTGTAATTTACAATATTGTTGAGAATGAGGCTCTAAGTTTTTTTAGCATTGACTTTAAGACTGGTTCTCTAAGTGTTTCAGGGCAGCTAGATTATGAGACCAAAGCCACTCATCTGCTAACTGTTAGAGCCACAGATTCGGCTATCGGCCAATTTTCGGAAGCAAGAGTGTTAGTTAAAGTGGAAGATGTAAATGATCACCCACCTGTCTTCTCTCAAATGGTCTACACAGGACATGTCAAGGAAAAACTGCCACCATATCAAACGGTGATTCAATTGCAAAGTTCTGATCGAGATTCTGGGAAGAACCAAGAAGTTTCATATCACATCTTAGGAAACGATACAGAGGAAATTAATGAATTTTTCCACATAAACCACAAAACTGGTGAAATAACAACAGCCAAAGAGTTGGATTATGAAACTATGCGGCAGTTTCAGTTCAAAGTGAGGGCCACAGATAATGGTTTGCCACCATTGCATGCAGATGCGCTTGTCATTGTGAATGTATCTGATATAAATGACAATCCTCCAGAGTTCAGAGAGAAACACTATGAAGCTAATGTAAGTGAACTAGCCAACTGTGGACATATTGTTATTAAAGTTCAAGCATTTGACCTTGATAGTGTAGATGCTGGGAAACTGGAGTATCTTATTCTTTCTGGTAACAACCATAGACACTTCACTATTAACAGAACATCTGGAGTCATTTCACTTTCTAACCTCTGTAGAAATAGTTTGGATTTACTTTACCTGCTACAAGTCTCTGCTTCTGATGGGGTGTACAGGGATACTGTTCCTGTGTACATCAATGTTAACCATGCCAACAAGCACACCCCATACTTTCAACAGGATGTGTTTGAAGTAGAACTTGCAGAGAATGCTGAAATAGGCACTACAGTGATTGAGTTGGCAGCAAATGATCCTGATGATGGACCTTATGGAATGGTGGAATATAGCATTATTAATAAACTGGCCTTGGACATGTTTTCTATCGAAAGCAATGGCCATATAGCAACATTGCGGAAATTAGACCGGGAGAATGCAACAGAGAGGCTTATTGCCATCAAAGTCATGGCAAGGGACGGAGGAGGAAGGGCAGCTTTCTGCACAGTTAAAATAATCCTGACAGATGAGAATGACAACCCACCTCTGTTCATTGCCAATGAATACACTTTATCTGTCCAGTCTAATTTAGGCAAAGGAACCCCAATTATTCAAGTGCTTGCTTATGATGCTGATGAAGGGCAAAATGCTGATGTTACTTATTCTATTGATAAATATGATGAAGATCTAGTTCAAATTAATCCTTACAATGGTACTATCATCGTGAAAAAAAGCCTATTAGGGCTCGAAAACAAGGACATTACTTTTACAGTCATAGCAAAAGATGGAGCACCTCCAAATTGGAGCTCACTTGTTCCTGTTCATCTCCATATTGTACCAAATGAGGTCACTCTACCCAAGTTTTCTGAACCGTTGTATAGTTTTTCAGCATCTGAAGATCTGCCTGAAGGATCTGAGGTTGGATTAGTGAAAGCAACAGCAACTGAGCCAGTCATTTACAGTCTAGTGAAAGGCACAACCGCAGAAAGCAACAAAGATGGAGCATTTAGTCTGGATAAACACACAGGAGCTCTGGTTGTGAAAAAAGGCGTAGACCATGAAAAAACCAAATGGTATCTTATTGATGTTCAGGCCAATTGTCCTCACTTGGGCAAAGAGTTAGTGTCTTTGGTTTCAGTAAGCATCCAAGTGAAAGATATTAATGACAATCAACCTGTTTTTGAAGCTGACCTTTATAGAGCTTCATTAACAGAGAATATGCCAGCTGGGACAACTGTCATACAAGTTACTGCAAATGATCAAGACACAGGCAATGATGGGGTAGTGACTTATAGCCTCAAAGGAGATACTAGTGAGATTCATAGATTCTTTACAATTGATGCTGAAAATGGTTGGATTAGAACCCTAAAGGAGCTTGATTGTGAACAGCAAGAGGTCTATCAATTTTATGTAGTGGCTACAGACCAGGGCAAGAAAATACGCCTTTCTTCTGAAACCATGGTAGAAGTTACAGTAACTGATGATAATGACAACCCTCCAAGGTTCACCTCTCAAGCATACCGGGGATCCATAGCAGAAAACAGCCAATCTGGACAGGTCATAACTACCCTCAAAACATGGGACAGTGATATGTCAGAAAGCAACAGAAAGGTCACCTGTTTCATAACAGGTAAGATGACTTGACTAAATGGTATTGCATGCATGTTTTGTAATGGAGACTAGAAATGCTTAGAAATTGCAGTTATAGATACATACATATATATTAAATGTAGTTAGTTAGTCCAACCATTTTTAAATGTTAGTTATAAACAGGACCAATTGAACCCCCAGTAAATCTTATAACTTTTGGGAAGATATCATATGGAATGTTTGGCATGACATGCTCTCTGGATTAAGGTTATTTCTTTAGTTTGGCAGACTAAGGTTAATCTAGCCATGAAGTGAAAATATTATCTCAGGTGCCACAAAATATTTACCCTGCCTGCCCGTTCCTCTATGAGGCCTTCTCCTGTGAACACTACACGAACTGTATACGGATACATAGTATGTGTTATTAAACTGTGTTCCTTGGGTTCACAAGAGAATGTTTGCCTACAGTAGTGAGGGAGCAGGGATTGCTGCGTGGGAGCCGTGGGTGGCACCATAAGTGCAAACAAGGAATACAATACTCTAAAAATCCTCTTAATGACATTTAAATTGTCTATAATGAGGCTGATTTTCTAATTGAGTTGAGAATCTTCTCTCAAACAAGTGTGTGAATATACACTTCAACTATCCAGTCGTGTGATAAAACAAATTTGTGTTCTTTATGAATACCCGATAAAGTGCAGACACATTACTGAATAATTGAATATTAGTGAATATACTGTATAAGTGAATATTTACACATTTTTTGAGTGATGATTCTCAATTACTTTAGTAAATCAGCCTCATTGTTAAAGATGTTTTTAATGTCATTAAACAGATTTTTAGAGTATTGTACCAGTTTTATGCACTTATAAAAAGATTCTCAGCTCCTTCAGCCCAAATGCCTCCACAAAACTTTGGTAGCAGACAATGCTTGCTAAACTTCAATAATCAACAGTTATTAATATATTTGCCATGTCCACATCAATGATTAAACAGATCAAGGCAAATTCCCACCAATAGTTTATGTATTTATTTACATGGTAGAGATAGATGATGATAGGTTGCTTTGGCCCATATTATGTTTATGATTAAATGCTGTTTGTCCTAAACTAGCGTTTCTCAACTTTTTTTAGTCATGGCACCCTTTAATAAGATGCGAAATCTCGAGGTACCCCAGTCTAAAATGTCATCGTTTTTAAGGGGGACTCCATGCAAAAACACCCAAAAAAGTGGTTTTCCCCCTTCACATCAAAGTTCCCCCCTCAAATCAAGATTTCCCCCTTCACATTAGAGTTACCCTTTGCATCCGTAGCCCCCCTTTCACATCAGAAGCCCCATTGTCATATCAGAATCCCCCTTTTTACATTAGAGTTCCCCCTTTACATCAGGACCCATTTTTGACCTCAGTCTTCATTCCCCTTAACCTCACAGTCCCACTACCACAACATTTTTAGGCACACCCTAAGAAGGCCAGGAGGCACACCAGTGGGCCATGGCACCCTGGTTGAAACTGTCTTTGATTAGTGTATAGCTAATGCAGAGAAATAAAAATTAGAGATATACTCTGACAGATCTATTCTACTGACAGATGGAGACTCCTTAGGACTGTTCAGCATTGGTGAGGTTGGAGACCAGTGGGTCATTTCCTCCAAGAAGGCCTTGGACAGAGAAAATGTAGAAAAACATCACTTAAAGGTGACAGCATCTGATGGGAAGTTCCAGGCGACCACAGAGGTGGAGATTACTGTTTTGGACATCAATGACAACAGCCCAGAGTGTCAGCAGGTATGTAGCTTTAAAAGACAGAAATATGGTAGATAACAGACCACTTTGCAGCACTTTCTAAAGATATTATCAGACAACACGGAGTGTGACCATATTAAAACAAGCATATGGGCTACATGCATTTTGTGCTTATATTTCTAGTTTGGCATGCCAGAATGCATGCATTCACAGGCAGCCCTTACAGTGATTCACTCTGCAGAAGGCTGTCAGCACTTTCTTACTGGCTAAAAGCAGAAATACTGGGCACTGGCCTATTTGTTTAAAATGTGTATACCTACAGTTGTATAAACAGCAAAAAAGTAAAGAGCATTGGGGAATTATTAAAGAGACCCTGTGGCCAGACCATTCATTTCTACAAAAATCTTCCTATAAGATTATATGTCCATTAAACATATTTTATGCATGTTATTTACCTGTTAAAGCCCCCCTTGTGTAGAAATCCCAAAGCCATGAGACTGCTGCTGGGTGCTGTCATCTTGGATGTGATGTCAGCATCTCCGCTCAAGTAATACACTATAGTATTTCCCTTTGCTCCTTCCCCGGCAGCTACATAAAAGATTATGGGAGGGGCGGAAGAGTTGGGCCAGCACAGAGAGTGAGTGATTACACACTCAAAGAAGAGATGATGGATATGACTTGCAAGGATCAAGGGGACAGTGCTAGGGAATTGACTCTCCTGGAGTAGTGACATTTCTAGCAAATTTAAAGGCACATTGCAAGAGAATCAAACATTGTTTATGGAGAGCTCTCAACTGAGCTCTCCTCCCCACTCAGACAGTGTATTGTGTGCAAAGGCAGATCTGGTGTTTAGTGATCGTGTTACACAGAATAACTAGGAGGGGGGCAGCTGTTTACAGCCTGCTTTACAATCCAATACCAATGTCAGACTGAATTTCCTGTGGAGAAAATGTTTAATGTATAGGATTCATGCCTAATAAAAACTTCATACAAAATGAAGAAAGCCTGCATGAAAATGTGCACATGTATACTTCATTACTGCACCTCTTCATTACCACAATAAATGGTTATCACTTGCAAAGGTGGAAATGGGCTTTAAGCTTTAAATGCACTTTAAACGTATGACATATGTGCAATGCCATTGGGTATATTGGAGCTGTGTGGAGAATGTGGAGCAGTTTGGGACTATTATTATTTATTATTATTATTTATTTTTTAGTTTTTGACTACATATATTATTATTATTATTATTTAAATTGTAAAAAAAAAAAATATAAGGACATGCTGATTCTTAAAATTGTGCTCTTTGATTTGGAGGTATTAAGAGATACTAGAATCATGCACTCATGAAAAAAACTACACAGATGAGTTGTTATGTTGTTATATTGATGACCTTTTCACCACACTCTACAATATTTGCCTCTTGCCTTCTGCAAATTACACATAGTTTTCATTTTGAACTGCACAGAATGCCGTGATAAGCACTCTCCTGATACTTGTCATGTGTGATTGTCAGGGAACTGGTTGCATTCTTCTCCCTCTCCTGTCGAGGAGGAGACAGATAAGTCCCCACTCATCCAGAAATAGCACGGGCATTACTGAACAGTCTCTCCTATTCAGCTTTGTTTGGGATTTCACATTCCTGCTATGGATGAATTGCTACAATGCAGGAAAACATTCATCTCAGATAATTCTCCTTTCTATCAGATGCTCTACACAGCAACGGTTGCTGAGGACGCCCCTCCCGGTCTCTTTATCCTCAAGATATCAGCCAAAGACCAGGACATTGGTAATAATGCCCAGATTACTTATGCACTTTATGGACTTGGAGATGACCACTTTCGTCTGGATCCATACACAGGTAAAGTCTACTTGTACTGTTATATGAAGGGAAACTATTGTATTTACTAAAATATATAATATAAATACATAAACAATAGCTCAGAGTAGAGTGATAAAGTCTCTTTAAAGACCGTCCCTTGACCTACTTAAAGTCAGCTACGCAGCACCCCTTTCTCCACTGCAGCTACTGCTGTGTAAGCTTCATGTCGGATGTTGTTGGAGCTTACACAAGCTTGGTGATGTGATGTGATAGTGTTCAGGCCTGTCAATTGGTCATTCACGTCCACAGACTGCATCATGGGAGGAGGTCCCCTTTACTTGCAAGAACTATTTATTAAAGACAAACTTCACCCGGTTATGTAGCTGCTGACTTTTAATAAACACATACAGTATTTACCAGTGCTGTCTTCTACCCATCCCATTCTTCTCAGAATTTCTGATCTTCTGTGCCACCATCTTGGATTGGGGAGACACTTGTGACTTCCATCCAGCTCCCTCCTGCTCACGCAGGGAGACTGGTCCCATAGCCTCCTGGGATTTATGAAATTATCGCAGGAGGCTGTGGGCAGGGATGGGGTGGACCAAGGGGACGTCATCCTCACCTAGGGTGAGTGAGCAGGAGCAAGTGCCACCAAAAAAGAATTCTTGCTTCCCCTTCACAAAAAATACAATTTTGTAAGAGGCTGGGGGGAAGAAGAGCATGATAGTGAGTGTAAATTGCAGGAGAAGGTCCGCTTTATTTAAATAATAATTTACAGGAGTTAGGAGAAGGCAGGAGAAGTGGACAATCTAGGACAACATTGCTGAACTGGAAAGTGAGCTGAATGGAGAATTGTTCCAAATCAGCTATGTTGTCCTAGATTGTTAACTTCTCCTGCCTCTTCCGGACTCTTCCCCCTTTTGTGAATAACCCTGTTAGTAAATTTTTAGGCAAACAGTTAGTAAAGTTAGTGGGTCTCCCTTCCAAAATATTTGTAATGCTGTTCAGCCAGGAGACAGCAGAGAGCACCTTTATTTTCTAATCTTTCTAGCTTGGGACTGGTCCGGTGGGTGACCAAACTGTATTGCTAAACTGCAGTAGGGAAAAGGGAGGACAGATAGCTTGCTCGGCTATCTGGAAGGAGGATTTGTGAATCACGAAACGGGCTGCACAGAGTTACAATTCCATGATTCGGTGCAATAGGCAGTGATGATGTGAAAATTGCAATAACCCATGGCAACCAATCATAATTCAGTTAAAAGCAGCCAATAGATTTTTCTTTTTCATTTGTTTATTTATTCTGTCTTGCTGTGCATACGGCCTCCATTTCTTTTTCGTTCTCTATTAATTTCCTGTCTAAGGGTTAATGAAATTTTAACAAAGCTCTTATATTATTAAAATATTATAGGGGTGCTACATTCCCGATGAATCCAATAACAAGCTTTTATTAATTCAGTGGATATTGCCATCAGTTTCTGACAAAGACTGGAAATGATAGAGATTTGAATCTGCCCGCTTGCTTAGCATGCTTGTGGTAGAGAGATAAAGAAAAATCATTTATTTTAGATGTAGCCAAGTACTGTGCAGGTTCAACTGAAACACGCACCAGCCATTCATCACTGTTATCCAGCTCACTTCTCTTAATAAATATATACTGACAGTGAAGAGTTCAATGAGGGTTTGATTTATGTATGAAATACCTTACAGCAAGCACCATACAACCGGCCTGTAGGTACATCTCCATTTTTAGGGGAAGAGACGATTCCTTTGAGGATAAACAGCACAAAACATGGTGTACAGTCTTCAGCATTTGTTCTCAACTTAATGCAATATGTGTGGCTCTTCATTACAAAACATTTCTTTAGTCTTAAAGCTGATAAACAACTAAAAACACATATAAGGGGGGCTGTTCTACCAGCTAAAGGATTTGCATTTCTGTCTACCCAGTTCTGGGATTTACACAGCTCTGCCTCACAGTACAGCCGTGCATGACCTGATTTTTCTCTGCTGCAGTTCGGTAACATTTAGGGCTTCTTTACACCAATTGCAGTGCGTTCCAGAGCGGCAGCTGCTGGAATGCACAGCAATCACTCACAAAACTGCCTCCTGCGTTCTGGGGCAGGAGGGGGCATAGCGGTGCACCCGATCACACTGCGGGCGGGGGGCGTGGCTGGGGTGCCATTGACTTCAATGCACCACCACCCCCCTCCCACCCCCGAAACGAAGGGGAAAGTTTTATGAGCAATTGCAGTGCATTCTGATTGATTGGACAGTAATCCGTGTATTTTCCTTGTTAGCATATGACAACTGAAGCACAATTTTCTGGTGTCTGCCGTGCACCCAGTCTGTGCTCTGCTGTACAGGTGTACAGGGAAGAGGCTAGATCAAATTCAGATACTTAAACTGGCCATACACTGTGCAAATTTCGTCCAGTTCTTGATGACCCAACTGAAATTTGCACATGTAGCATCCTTCCATTAGAAAATGGTTGAAGCCAGATTGAAAGCATGTGAACATTGACAGCAGCCAACCGGCTGCTGCAACCTTTTGAGTATGTCAGAATACAATGCATAGAATACAATTCATTAGCGTGAATGGAGAAATCTGGTATATTTTTTTTGTTCAGCCCGCTGGCTGAACTCATAAAATGTCACAGCATATGGTCAGCTTTACAGTGCTTGCATTTAACACACACATCTAAGGATGTAATAATGAATGCAGAGCTGCATTTATTTGTGTACTTTATATCTGCATGGAGTTTAGCCTTAAATAGTAAAGAGAAGGAAATCTTTGACTTTTTTTTCGTTTTGTTTTTTTTTGCTTTGGTCCCTGATGAAGAAATGTTTCCTCACTTCCTTATAGGTAGACACAGGACAGGAAGGTAGGATTGCTTCTTCTGCACTTTAATAGCACTTGGGGACCCTCAGGTACCCCCAGGTACACACCTAAATATGCAGTTAAGCTACATAAAAGGGATTTTTTTTTGCCTTTTTTTTAACCTTTGAAATGATTGTATTTCAGTACATCCAGTCATGAGATTTACACAGCCCCACCAGACTGTGCAGGCAGGCTGGTTACCAGAATATTCTCTGTTCGCAGGTATGAAACATAGCTAGGTTGCATCTGCTTCCAGGATCTGACACATGTGACAGTGAAGGAGCAGCAGCAGGGGTCATCTCTCTCTCATGTTCCAAGTCAGGACATATGTAGGCAGTACTTATGATTGGCTCCTAGTGCTTCATATCCCTTTCCCAGTCTGAGTACTGCGGAACAGATTATTATAAGCCATGTTTAGGTACTTAGATTAGCTGCATTTAAAACTACATTTGATGATTTCAAGTTAATAATAACTGTATTAATTGGTGTTTTTATATGTGCTTGGAGTTTAGCTTTAAAGTGACAATAAGCTCAGGAGTTAGATCTGATCATCTCTGAATTGGTGCTGACACTGTCCTTCTTTCTGGAGGTTGGCTACTTTTGTTCCCCATGGTCCCTGTGTGTGTTGTAAAGTAGTCACCGCTCCAAGCTGACTCCCATGATAGACTACAATCTCCCGTTTAGTTTACCCATTTCTATTGAGACTGCAGGCCATCACTCCTACTCCTGAGTTTATTGTCACTTTAACACTTGTATCTGCATTTAATACAATTTTATATAAGTTTTTTTATACTTTTTTATTATTTATTATATATATATATATATATATGTTTTTGTTAAATAATACAGTATTTTTGAACTGCTTTCATAAAAGCTACTGATTGTGTCTGTACAGGGGAGTTAACAACGCTGGCACCTTTGGACAGGGAACAAAAGGCATCCTATCACCTGGTTGCAAAAGCCTCAGACGGAGGAGGACTTTCATGCCAGTCAGACATTGCCCTGTCTCTGGAGGATGTCAATGACAATGGACCAGTTTTCTCCATGAATCACTACTCTGTAACTGTGTATGACAACACAACTTTGAAGACCCCTGTGGCGGTGGTCATTGCTAGAGATCCTGATGAAGGTAGAGCAAAATATATTTTCTTTAAAATGATTCCTCCGCTAACCACAAAGGCAGCCATCTTACAGCATTCTACATTTATCTTGGAAGATTTTTTTTACATAACTGCAGCATGGGAGATCTCTAAACCAGTTTAATGTGTAAATAAAGGCAAAACTTTTTTTTGGATAGAGTAGGGAATAAAATAAGACCAATGCCAGGGTGTTTTATGTCCCCAAGAAGTAAGAGGAGATCTCTCCAAAGCGCAGAGATATCCCTTCTTTGAGTCCATGTACACTGACTTTCCGATCAGATCCCTGTGTCAGTTCAGGCGGATCTGATCAGAAGCCTAATGTTAGTCTATGGGCAGCCGTATCTAAGCGGATATGTGTCCGTTTACATCTGCTTACCCCCGACTCTAGGCCAGGTCTGGAAAAACAAATGGAACATAGTTCAGTTTTGTATGACCTGATCGTGGCGAGTTAGGGGTAATCTGATTTAAACGGACACATGTGCATTTACATGTGACTCCCCTTAGACCAACATGGGTGCTGTATTTTCAGTTTTTTTCCTCCATTGCAAGATGTAAAAAAGTAGACTGACACGCATGTCACAACGGTGACATCCATTCCGAACTGCTTCAATCAGCAGGACATGCGTGCATGGTTTCCCTACTGATTGGAACTGAAGGTGCCCGTGTGAAAGGGGCCTTAGACATTTATCATCAGTAGAGGTGTTTCCCATTGCAATATTTCACCTCACCTCCTGTTTCTGTGACAACTTAAAAATGTTAGATTTCCCATCATATTATGTATAAGCTTCCATGGTCACCAGGACAGATAGGGAGTGTGAGTCTTCCCAGACAGCAATAAAAAAAAAGCTGAGTTTCTAACCCTTCCCTACTTTATCCAAAGCTAATACAAAAGGTGTGGGCTTTACATCCGCTTTAATAACAATAAGGACAGTCTGCATTTAAAAGGGGCCTTGAATGTACAAAACTATAAGCTAAAGAATGGTACTGCTAAAGAATGGTTGCAAAGCACAAAATGGCTGCCACCATTCTGTTCTGTAACTTCTCTTTATGTTAATATTGTGTCTTTAAAAAAAAATTAGAATATGATGTTGCAACGTGGTCAATTTAATTTGATTTGATTGATTTACTAAGTGCAAGTCATTAGATGAAATATATTTTGATGACTATTATATTAGTCAGGAGAAATATTTCAGTTGATTGATATTGCTCCTCAGGATTAAGGCCAGGTTCACACCATTTTCCAGACAGATCTGGAACGCAGTGCATTGCTTTTTGCCGCGATTTTACTGCATTTTATTTTTAGCTTAAAATGGGCTTTCAGGTGTGGTCCAGTGCATTTGCATGCTTTTGTATGTGTTCCATTCCAGACCAGAGAAATTGTGACAAGCAGTATTTTTTGTCTGGTCCGGAACGGACTGCGTTGGTGTAAACAGAGCACAGAAATACCATAGGGATACATAAGGATGCTTTTTTGGTCCGGGAACAAACTGTTCTGGTTTGTACATGATCCGGACATGGTGTGAACAAGCCCTAAGCTACCATTGGTGATGTCTGCTTAATGCATGTTTGTGTTCAAATCAAATTATGGGGCAAGGTCTTCTGGCAACCAAGGTGAAGATGTCAAAGAAACCTCCATGAGCAGAGATGGATACATGGCCCCAACAGCTCACCTCTCAATGGTCTGAATTGGCCCCAAAGACTGTTTAGTTGTTAGATTGTGCAGACATGTACTAACGGCCATTTAATGTCTATGGCCAGCTGTAGAACACACCTATCCTACATTTTCCCCATGCTTATTTTCTTCCACTGTTTGTCATCTGGCCAAACTCTTAACTTTCTGCATAGTAATACCATGAGAACTGTAAAAGTTCATGAGCCATATCACATATTATTGCTATAGATTTTATTATTATTAAATATAATGTATACTTTATGGTAAGTGCTTTTCATGTTTGCGGATGAAATATGCTTGAGTTAAAGGCTCCAGTACTTAACTTCAGGAACATGACATGTGCAAACTCCCTCTCCAGTGCTGATATCTTCTCCCCAACTTCTTCTGGGTTCGAGATCTTCTGCCATTTTGACTGGCATGCACACAGGAGTTAATTCATACTGGTACTTAGGAATGGTGAGAATGTATCGAGAGCTAAGCATGCACCCTGCATGTGAGCAGGCAGGTGAGGATGTTGTATTACAGAAGAGACATAGTGGGGGTGATTTACTAACCTAAACACACGCACGCACTAGGTGCGTGTGATTTTTACACAGCAAAACGTATTTATCAACCAAAAAGTCTCTAAAAGCATATTTCCACTAATGCCATATATGGAAAAATCATGCACACAATGCATATATAATGCTGCTTCACAGTTTAGACAAAAATGGTTAGCTCATGCATTTACATTCCTGCATTCATCAACGCAAGCAACACAACATAGAGCTAATTTACACAACATCACCTTGTAATTCATGCAGGGCTTTGCACAACACATCTGCTGGGTGTGTACACACTACAAAGGTGTTTAGATTCCACCCATAGATCATGCTGGGAGGGAACACACTACAGAGGTGTATACATGTTCGTGGTGTGTTTATAAGGTTAGTAAATCAACCCCAGTATGTCTCTTCTAAAATAAAAAGTCTGGCTACTTGCAAATTTTTGGAAAAGTTCTATTTTATGTTAATGTATCTATTCATGTATACTTGCATGTAATAGATGCTTTAATTGGTGCAAGCACTACTGAGGATCACCATTGTAAAATCTTGCCAAAATGAAATAATATTGTTTTTAATTTAATAACAATTATTAATTTTTTTGTTTAGGTTTAAATGCTGAAGTTCTGTACTCCCTCTCAAACTCCGTCAATGGACTTTTCTCAATTGAAGAAACCACTGGTGTAGCTCGAATAGAGAAACCTCTAGAAGACATGGAGGATGAAGTAATTGAGTTAACCGTCTGCGCCACAGATCGTGGCTTTCCCCGTCCACTTTCCACATGCATACCCATTACCGTTTCTGTGGTATCTCTCAGTTACTACCGATCGGTGTTCGGAAACCCAGAAAATGTCATAAATGTGCCAGAAGACCAGTCAGTTAATTCAGAGCTTCTCAATCTAGCACAACTGACACAGGACATTGAGAGCAACATGAAAATAAAGTATGAAATCTTGAACGGGAATGAAAATGGCATATTTCGTCTGACTGATACAGGTATGGTGCTTTAACATTGAAAGAAAATAATTTACAGTAAATTGCCAAATTTAAAAGCTGCAACATCAATACAAAAATAACCTGTGGAGTCAACTCTACCCAAAACTGAAATTTTAGGTTTCTGTAGTTGACAGCAAATTTATTACATGGTTCTCATATCACAGGAAGACTCAGCAAGAGTTTTTGCCACTAGAATTCCCTACTCTAATGGCTATTCCTGATAACAGTGCCTCCCCCCACCTACGGATGTTCTCTAGTGTAGAATAAGCAATTCAAAAGACATCTGGAGGCAAGAAGTCAAGAGTGACACCATCAGTATGACCTTGTGCATGGAGAGACACGAGACACTAACTACTGCAAACAATGTAATTTAAAGGAGAACTATGACGTGAGTGAAAATCACTCATCCTCATAGTTGGAGCCGACGTGTGACAATGAAACTGTCACACATCACCTCAATAGATCGGGAAGTGAGCGAACACATAACGTCGCTCGCTCACTTCTCGATCATCTCCCTGCAGAGAGCGGTCAGTCACCACTCCCCGCAGGTATCCCACCCTGCTCCGATCTTCCAGCACTGACTGGAGGAATGGACGGGGTACAGCTGGCTCTGCCTCTACATTGGCAGAGCCAGCTGTCATTCACGCAGCTGTCGGAATCTGTCCTGGCTGCGGTGGTCTCAGTATACTGAGCGCTGTAGCTCGCGATATACTGAGCTTTGGGTCACGGGAGGAGGTTAGTATATGTCCTCCCGTGACCCTTAAGAGAACTATGGGGAAAAACACTTTTAAGTCTCACAGAGATATAGAAAGCTGGTGGGTCTTTCAATCCACCAGGTCACACCTAAAACTGTCATATCTATTTTTGATTAAATTCACCTGTAAGTATCATTCTTCCAAATCCAAATACATGCACATGAGAGCCTTTGAAGGTTCTATCATTAATTAGAACTTTTGTTTATGTGGCATTTGCAATCTGTATGGTTCATCCACCTGTACAGACATGATGAGCACTGGAGAAGCACTCTTCACCTTTAGCAGCCACCATTTTAAAAAACTTTGTGAGCTTTTTTTCAGAAAAAGAACAGTGAAGGACTCAAAATGCACACTATAAAGCCACACTATACCCTATTACATTCAACTAGAAGAAGGAGTGTAGTGCCCTTTAAAATAGTCCAGTGACTAATAAATAAGCTTGACTGGGTCCTGGGCATGCCTAAGGATATAAATAGCAATGGAGCACGTGGTGAGCAGTAGGCCAGAAGGAAGGACTTGAAGCATCATACAAGTCAGGTCCTGTTGTCCATGCATGATGGGGATAAACGGCAAGCCACTGCCCAATAGACACCAGATCAACAGCTGACTACCTGATAGAGGACCACCCTATAAACATCAGCCACACAAGCGAGTGACAAACAAGTTCTTTACACACCCACTGATTATTGTATGGTGAATCATCTCAATCATTAGTATGTTTTTTACCTTAGAATATTATGTTTAATTTGTTTCTATTTAGATTCAACTCAATATTAATAAACTTTATGTAATTTTGATTTATTTTCAGGCACATTGTACTTGAATGCAAAGTTGGACTTTGAATCCCAGTATCAGTACTATCTCTCCGTAGAAGGAACTAGAGAGAGCTCTCCTCCTCTAAGTGATGTGACAGTTGTTGTGATAAATGTTACGGATATCAATGACCATAAGCCTATCTTCAAACAGGAAGAGTACCAGGCAGAAATACCAGAGGATGCAGTGGTGGGCGATCTAATTGTGATGGTAAGGAGCCAAAGATTGGGGGGAAAAATCTTGGATATAAATTATGTAAAATCTAATTGTTATTTAGCCATAATTGGTTATCAACTTTTTACATTTTTTTAGCGTTAGGTGTAGCTGATTGTAAAGATGACTGAAAAACATTAGTTTAATCTTAAGGTGGCCATTCACAGTAGATCATTATCTGTAACATATGTGGCCATCCTTATAGATCACCACATGTGACCAGTCCAGACATTCAGCACCAATGGCGAACTTCTGGAGTGTGCTGGGCATAGCAGTAACCATAGGAGGAAACCATGGACACATTGGGCAGATAGCAGATATCTGTCCGTATCAGATGTTGCAAACAGGTCATCCAAGGCATCATTAGCAGAAAATTGTGTCTAAAACAACCTAACCTGTCAAGTTTTTCTGATGTACTAAAACACTACACTGATGACCTGAAAAATCCAATTTCTCTGTAGCTGTGGGTTTCCAAATTTTCCACTGTGTAGCTGTCCGTTTTTCACAAGCTTTGTGTCAGTACCTACTCTTACTAACGTTTGATCTTTCCATGTTAAACTTAGATTTCGGCTGTTGACTTAGATGGACCAAAGAACAATAAAGTCACTTTAAAAATTGTGAAAGGAGATCCCCAAGGTCACTTCTCAATACATCCTGAGCGGGGAGATCTTAGAGTTCTAAGTCGACTGGACCGAGAGCAGGTACGTCTTCTCCAGATCCAGCTTGGTCCTGATCCTGTTTCGCTAACTTTCAACCTCAACATCTTTGTAATCATTCACAAGACATGCCTGTGTCTGTTCTGAGTGTTATTTTTAGAAGCTGGTTTGCAATGTTATGCAACATTTTGTCTTTGAAGAATCTTTTGTTCTGCTTAATTTATTCTTAGCATGCAGTGCGACATGTACATACCACGTTATACCACAATAAAGTGTACTGTTCAAAGAAAAAGCAGCCTGAAGGTTTTTGTGGGGCCTCTTGAGCCTAGATGGCTTGGATTTGAAGACAAGAAATTACAATGATTAGAACTGTTTGACAATTTGGGTTTACTAAATACAGTATATTCAGATTAAGATGAGCTCCTGGCAGATATACAGTAAAAGACACTAGGGCTGCAACCAACTAATCAATTAATCAATAATAATCGATTATGAGAATAGTTGTCAACTATTCTCATTATCAATTCGTTGGTTGGATTCCCTAGCTCTCTCTTTCATGCTGGGAGGAGGGCACAGCAATCAGTGGGTAGGTGCAATAGCCAGCCTGTATTGGCTATTACATTTTGAAATGGCCAATAGCATGGCCTATTGCACCAGCCCACTACCTGCTGTATTTACATTCAGCTGCCGTCTGCTGAATCTTGCCACTGGCAGCTGCCATTCCCTGGCTGAAGCTATTCAAGTGCCATGTGCTTTCAATTATTTAAAAAAAATATATCTAAAAGGTGGGAAAAAAGTCATTTTCAGTTTCAGCCTGACAAATTCTGCTGCGGGAGGTGCGTTGAGGTGCCAACATTTCAATGGCACCACAAACGTGTCTCCCACCCAAAGTGTGATCACCCGCACTGCAACGCAGTGCGATTGCAAAAAATTGTACATGCAGTTTTATTCTGAAGTAAACTTTATGTCTATAACACTGCATTTGTGTATTTTTTTAAATTAAGAATGGTATTTTTTTAAATCCGATTAATCGATTATTCGGCCAACTAATCAATTTTTTTAATCTAATGATATCTTTGATTTTTAACAGAAATCGAAATACTCTCTTGTGGTTCGTGCAACTGACAATGGTGACCAAGCACTCTACAATGAGGTGACAGTTCTGGTTCACTTACTGGATGTGAATGATAACCCTCCCATGTTTTTACAGTCCAACTACAGTCTTGTGCTTCAGGTATGGTGATTTTCTGGCTTATTGAAAAAGAGAAGGCAAAGATAAATGACAATGTAATAACTACTTTTTGCCAACAGCAACTAAATGGATTTCTGTTTACTTAAGTCAGAATAATATAAGATAAATTATGTAATTCTGTAATATGGGTTGCTGCACTCTGCACAATGAAACTTCTGAATTTGTCTTTTTGATGACATGCTACTGTAATTTGTGGCCACTGGCCAGACTCAACCTTTACTGATATCTTCTCCACAGGACAGTTCCCCAGCTGGTTCTAGTGTGTTGACACTTATTGCAACAGATAAGGATTCTCCCAAAAATGGGCCACCGTTTAATTTTCAGATCATGGGAGGAAATGAAGACAACATCTTCCATATCAGTCCAGATGGTGCCCTCTCTACTACAGCTGTCCTCAGCAGAGGTGCCAAAGAGAAGCATATCTTAAAAATCAAGGTAAGGTGTAAGCAGAAGTATCCCAGGTGGCATCAGACTAGAAAAAAAAATAAAGGCTGTAATAGACAGAAACCTAGTCAATGAGGCCATAACATAATCAACTGCCCAATCTCCATTTGAAAGGTGTTCTCACTATTCAGACCTAAGTCTAGGAAATCAATAATTAACACTAAAGCAGAGGGTCAATAGAATTATTTGGACTATAGGTGTTTTCATTTTATTTGAAGTTAAAGCAGATTTTGCACTAAAAAGCAAGGTCTGCTTTAATAGCCCAGTGCCTTCGTCTGAATAGTACAGACAAACTGTAGCAGGCCTCATTTTACGGCAGGTGGTAATACCAGCTTAATGCATCCCAGTAATCATGGTGTTGATTTACATACTTTGGATATATTTTACCTGAGACGTACAGTAGGGGGAATTTCTCATAGCAATTGCAAGTGCTTGAACTTGCATGGAATATATTTGATGCACTTTGCACCAGATTTATGATGCTAGTGTGTTGTTCATAAATGAGGTTTAATAGACTCCAGTTAAGAAGACTTGTAACTTCAGGAAAAAAGCTTAACTGTCGCTTCTTGAAAAAGGGGTCATAGGGACTCCTTAAGTTGGGATTGTTCTGTTAGGTGATGCTCCAGTTTCAGACAGCCCCCGAACATGTGCAGATGAAAACAGGTGCAAAAAACATGCAGTTGACAAAGTAGTGCAAGCTCTAGTCAAAACTGGTGCAAAACACGTGCGGTTAGAAAAGTAGTGCAATCTCAGGTCAAAACAGGAGCACATGTTAAAAGACAGATTTGCACATTTAAAAAAATGATCTAAGAGGCTAAAACTGTCGCGATTGATTTGATAAATTCCCCCCAGTATGTTTATGTCCTATGAAGAGGTCAATGTTGTTTAATATATTCTTTGACAAAGGAATTACAGTAAATGCAATGGACAAACCTAGTCTAGTCAAGATGATATCCTTCAATTCTATTAGACAATTATAAACAAAATTGTTTACACAATATTACTAAAGCATAATCATCATATTTCAAATGTGGCAAAACACTCATGTACATGAATCAAAGGCTTGGACGTTGTTTAAGGAATGTTTACCTGTAAAACCAGACCTATGTCCTTGGAATACACTGGAAAGGCATTAGTCCATAACCAGACAAAGACATAATAAGGGGCTGGTATGAGCAGCCTTCTGTCTTTTTTTTTATCTGCCAGGACAAAAAAGTATGAACACTAACTATTACATTCTGTCTGTTTAGGTTTCTGACAATGGCATCCCGCACCTTTCCTCTTTCACTTTCGTCAGCATCCAGGTCATTGACCAAAGCCGCCACTCTCCTACAGTGCTGCCACTGGAAATATTTATCACCACCAGTGAGGCATCATTCCATGGCACTGTGTTGGGCAAATTGCATGCCACAGACCAAGATCCTCATGACACATTGATGTATCGGTTGGCTGAAGAGGAAATTAAAAAGGGTCTCTTTTCTGTTGGAATTACTGATGGCAAGGTCATTGCACTTGAAAGTCTTAAACAAGGACATTACTTTTTCAACGTCACAGTCAGTGATGGGTCATTTACCGCTATGGCACCTGTTCATATCTACGTCTGGTGTTTTAATGAGGAGGCTCTCCAGCAATCATTGGTTCTTCGATTTAAGAGCTTATCTCCAGAGGACTTTATAGGGGACCATTGGCGCAATTTTCAGAGATTTCTTGGGAACCTGCTTTCAGTAGACAGACAGCAGATTCAGATGGCCAGCCTTCAAAAAGATGAAACATCATCATTTTTGGACCTTGTCTTGGTGGCTGGGATGGGCTCTACCTCACTCAGTGAACCTCAAGCTTTTGCTGAAAAAATCAGTGGAGTGGAACAGGAGCTGGACCAGTCCATGGGTTTACATATTGAGAAGATATTTCACCTGCCCTGTCATGGCCTACAGTGCAAAAATCGGACATGCCAGGAAGTTATTGAGTTGGACCCATCAGTATTATCTTCATACAGCACTGCCAGGCTCAGTGTTATTACACCACAGCACACTCTACGACAGGTCTGCACATGCAACAGTAGGTTCATTTTACTGTTTAACCTTCTTTTGACCTTCTTTCCCTTGAAAGTATGATTCTGGGAAAATATCTTTAAAACATGATTTTAAAGTGTATAAAATCAAATTTTTTTTAGTTTTTCGATACAGCAAGAAGGGGTTAGCAAAGTTGTGATTGCTGTTCTGTGTCCACGCTGCGCACAATTACCCTCTCTATGTGTCCTGCTGACCATTATCACTAGAGCTGAAAGTGATGGGAAATCGAACATTTTTAGATGTCAGCAAAACAGGAATAGAGGGGAAATCTTCCAATAGTGACTGTCTAGGAGGCTGTGTAAGAGGAGATGTCTCCCCACACTGGACATCCCCCTGCTTTCTGTTGTATCTACAATGCAGGATGGGAAGATACATTTTCCCAATGGAACACAGATGGAAAAAAAACTGGCAGGGGTTTTAACTCTTCCCTATTCTAGTCTATAGCACCCAGCTTTTACTAGTTTAAAAAATGAATCTTTCAAAACAAAATTTGAAAAAAACCTCCACTGGTGCCTCAGTGTACTCTGGGGACTGTATCTCCCCACAGAACCAGGGACAAGTAGTAGTAGTAGTGGGCTGCTGGAGCATTTGAAGATGCATCTTAAAGGAGAAGGTAGTTGGAAATGGTCCAGCAACCTCACAACTGATAAAAACAAATGACTGCTGAGGTGTTGAGTGAAATTCATTGAAGTGGAGCGTTAAGGAGATTGCTTCTTAATACATGATTTACACATCATCACATACGTTGCAAATAAAAACAAATATGGGTATTTTGTTTGCATTTAAAGGATCTGTCCAACTGAGTTGCATACTTACTACCCAGTTATAAACTAGAACAAAAGGTAATAACTGTTGGGGGTGAGTTTTCAGGCACTGTTTAAAGGCATAGTAGGACATAGCCATACAAGTTGGGGTAGGAAGTTCAAGAGGATGAGAAAGGTTCTGATAAATTCTGGAGGGAGGAGTTGACAAGTGAACTAGAGAGCACGAGGTCCTGTTGGAGCGAAAATATGTTTTGCTGGTATTTTGAAATGAAGTTGGTGATGTAGCTCTAGAAAGAGTTGTGGATGACTTTGTATATTGCTGTTAGTATTTTAAATATTATTCATTGGTCGAGCAGAAACCAGTGGAGGAATTGGCAGAGAGGGGTGAACTGAACAGTTGGTAAGGTAGATGAGTTTATCAGTTTGTCAAAGTCTTTGGACTCCAAAATGTGTTTTCAATAGAATCAAATGACAGTTGTACTGTGAACACACACAAAAGACTTATGCTGTGGCTAAGTTTGTAGTTTGCAGAAAAAATCTTTCTACACATTCAGTTTAAATCAGTTTCCTAGGCTGCATTTTGCCAACACTAACATTTGAAATATTCTGATTTAGATAAAAGAAGATAGTAAGCTTTGTCAGAGTCCTGGCAGAGGCGTAACTAGAAATCGCAGGGCCCCATAGCAAAATTTTGGAAAAACAAGCAGAAAAAACGCTCCTATGGTACGCCCAGGTGTGAACCCAGCCTTAAGCCCTGTTGTGGGCAGACAACACACAGCTTTTTGTGGCTGAATGTAGTCACCTTTGCTCACTGTCTTTTGCTAAACTACTTAACCACTCTGACTTTCAGATCTCTACAAGGTAAAGACTAGTCATTCTGTTGTCCATGATAAGAACTGGAAGGGCAAATTAGAGTCTTCAAGATAACACAGGAAGTATGCAGGACAGCTCTAAATGTCAAGCATTTTAAACTTATCAAATCGACAAAAAATGCTTCAAGTGGTATATTTACAGACCAAAAGTGAGCAAATAAGATCAATTCATTGTTAGGGTTTACATACACTTTAAACACTCCCTGATCATGCACGCTATTTACTGAGCAAGAACAGATAAAATATTTAACTCTTTCTTCCTCCCAGGCACTGCTTTGAGATTCGATGGGCAGAGTTTTCTACGATACCACCATGAGATTAGTGGAGAGTGGAAAGTCCAGTTCAGTCTGAAAACCCACCAGTCCAAGTCTGTTTTGGTGTTTGTAAATGGTACTCGGTCATCTCTTTTAGAGGTAGGTTTTATTTACCCGTTAATAGAAGTATACGCCATAACAATGTGATCAAAATTCATTATATATTACTAAGTTCTCTTGAATGCAATTAGTCATCCTTGAAAAAGTATCATGAGAGCACTAAATATCCGGTTGCAATCTTAAACCATAATTGTAGTTTAAGTAAAAAAACAAAAAATAAATGTTTTATAAAAAATAAAGAAGTTAGCAAAAGAATATGCTGGTAGGTTATATAACTAAATTTTTAGCAGTTATGAAAAAAAATTCCTTTTTTAATGCCCCCCAGCCTATAAGGGTCCAGAGGAGTGCCTCTATCTTCCAGCAATACATATAGTGTAAAGGAAGAGGTAGAGTTCAGCTGGCTAATAGTAAATAATAGCCAGATTGACACTGACCCCGCCCACTCTTCTATGATTTGTGTACATGCCCCCTATTGGCGACAACTTACAATGCACCTGATGATGCCCATACAGGTCACGGGCATATAACTTCATTGTGATGTACAGCTTGCAGCTGGATAAAGTGAGGGGAGCTAGCAGCTATACTACAAAGCCACAGCCATTCTTTAGGTTTTTCTCAATGAACTGAAGTATGCCACCTCAATCGAGTTTAAACAGGCTAAGTCTCAGATAGCTACTCGATTGAGGCAGTCTACTTCCTATATCTGGGCAGCGGGCATTGTGAGTGGCACTCTGCAGGGGTAGTGTTCAGCTAGACTGGGGTACAGAGCAATATTGCAGCTGGATCTGGTAGGTGTCAGTGGCCCCTGGACAAGAGGGGGGACAGTACTGTGGGGTGATGGCAGTGTGTGCTGGAGGCAGGCACTGTAATTCCTTCTCTCCCAGAAACCCAGCATGGTCACTTGCCCACTCTTACAGCTTTCACTTATTTCTTGCTTGGTGCTGTGCATGTGTTCTGCTGCATTGTGTGTTGAGAGAGTATTTTTTATGTGACCTTATGTACATTCATAATTTTATGACTGCCATACCAATCATTCTAGCATGGATTTAAAGTAATAGGTTACTTTAAATTAGAACTCCAGACAAAATTTTTAATATAACCACAGATGCCGGAAGTATATCATGAGCTATAGTATCTGGCCTGAATGGAACTGTAAATATTAAGGAAAGCCCACCAATATTTAAGGCCGTACTACCCCGTAAGACCATTTTTTACACAGCAGATTTTAAACACATTTCGTCTAGAGTTCCATATTTTGTGGGTAGAAGGATTGTGGCATATCTTATCATGTACAGAGTGAGTAGGCTCAAGATTTAAGCCCCTACCACTGTGGCAATTTTGCTACGTTCACAATTACACAATTAGTTACTGCACATGCCACACATCTATAAAAGCTACTTTAGGTATAAAGTGCAGGCACTTAGAGGTTATTGCACATGCCTAAAGCAGCTACCAAAACCCTGCTGTTAAAGCCCAACTCTGGGAATTACACAAAAACTATCCTTGCAGTGGGCCCCGTTGCACTGCAAGGGTTAAACACTCATTAAAGGTAGAGGAATACCGTGTAATACTTGCCTGTGTCTCGCTCTGGCAGGCCTCTCCTCTTCACTCTGATGCTCGGAGTTTTGGGTGGTCCTTCGTCATCCTCATGTACAATGCAGGACTTTTGGCCCAGCACTGTATTTAATGATGGCAGCATGCCATCGCTGGCCGGAGTGTCCTAGAGAAGAGGCTTCAGGGGACAGGTCGCACAGATGGAGGAAGCCTGCCAGAATGTGGAATAATATAAGTAGTACATCTTAATCCTCTTCCCATGGAGTTAACAAGCATTTAACCCTTGCAGTGGGTGGAGGGGGGGGGGGGGTTTATGGGACCACTGCAAGTGTAATTCCCAGAGTTGGGCTTTACAAACATTTTGTCAGCATTTGCATTGAAAAAGCTTGGCCTCCCTCCTGCACATTTCTATTTGCCAGTGAGGCAGCCCATCATGATAATAAACCAATAAGAATCTCAGGTTTGAGCTAAAGGTAGAGGCAAGCTCCGAAACTATGCAAAGTGTCAAAGGCAAATGGTGGCATTGTGAACAACAGAAAAAAATTATCTGCAAATACTCCATGAGTTTAAGTGTAACTGAAATGTGAATTTTACTATGTCAAGTCAAAGTTGCTAAAAAGAATTCTGGTTACTAGCTTGCAGACTTGCTAAATAAAAATATACAAGGGGCAGATCATCGAGTGCAAACAGCAGCACCCTTAATAACTAAACATTTTCCATGTGAACCTGCTCTGACCAGTGAAGTGAATTCTGATTGGTCGGTATGGGTTACTAGAATTTGCACCTTGCACTGTTTATAGAAAAAGCAAAATGTATATTTGCTTTCCAATGTACTTTCTGGAGTGTTGGTAGAACAGTTTTGATTTAAATGTTATTTTTATTAGTATAATTGTTATACAGGATTTATATAGTGCCAACAGTTTGCACAGCGCTTTACAAAATAAAGGAAGAGAGTACAGTTGCAATATAATTCAATGCAAGAGGATTAGAAGGGCATTGTTCATGATTGGCAATCACCAATGTTTGAGCTTTTCACGGCTATTATTTTATGTATCTGGTATCTGCTCCACCTAATCCATTGCATCAGCATATATGCAGGTGATACAATTGTATATTTTGCTGACACGCACACAATGACTGTCATCTAATGTCCATGGCTAGCTTCACACGTCTTTTTGACTATGTTTAACTGGGATTTTTGTTCATGTGCTCAGACATTGTTTCCTATAGTGCAGGTTTATTGTTCTGTAAATGAACTGGCTAAATATTTGCTGGTATAATAATACCTGGAATATTTATATCTGTATGTCATGTTTAAAGCACTGAAGTCTCATTAAAGATAAAGGCAGGATGTGTAGATGATCAAGCAATCTTGCCTGGAGGCTTCTTAGCGAGTCTGTGCTTGTGCAGCCTTTGAGCTTGGATTGTTGAACATTTTGTAGGTGGAAAACGTACTTCTTTTCAATACATTTACAGGAAAATGCATGTGAGCAGTACAAGGAAGGCATGTCAATTACAAGTACAAATGTATTTAGTTCTGATCAGTAGCCAAAAAGTCATATAATTGTAGAGGTTCATTAATCATTAGTTACTTGGCTTGTCTTGTAGATAGAAGAAAAACTGGTTACATTTGTCTTTTGCAATTTGTAACTAATAAAATATGAAAATGAAGAATTCATTTTGCAGTACAGACCTAGGCCGCTGATGGAGGATTTCAGTTTGCTTGTTCTGTAATTTCCTGTGCGGGTAGTCTTTATAGTAAGATGTTGAAAACGTCAGTGATATATCATAAAGACAGATATTAATGAGATCTGTGCAAGACACAATGCAGCTAGTTTCAATGATGTCAAAGAACTCTGGACTGGGGAGGTGTGGGTGGTAGTTTTGGTAGGCTGGAGTTCTCGGATCAGAAGCCCCAGGACTCAATTCAGGCACCCCAGTTTTGGATGTACAACACCACAAGTTAAAGTGTAAGGGGAAAAAACATTTGTTTGTAAACTTTATTCTGGAGTTAGTGAAGAGCTACAGGTGTCCTTACCAGCAGGTGTGGTGGACCCATGTGTAGTAGTAATAAACATAATTTGAGTAGGGGAGGACTGCCATCTCTGTCATGAATAGAAGACAGACTCCCAACCAGAGGCAGTACATGGATCTCAGGAGATAGCTGAGATCCTTGGAGGAGTGCTTGCTGTCTTGCTATTAGTTGGGGTGTTTATCATCTTCAGAAAGTACATGATTTGAGTCAGGGAACGTCTACTCTCTCAGTAATGAATATAAGAGAGACTCACAACCAGAGGCTGTACATGATTTGAGTCAAGGAACGTCTGCTCTCTGTAATGAATATAAGAATGACCCCCCCAACCAGAGGGAGTACAAGGAAAGAAAACGAAGGACAAAGGCTCACAAGAGAGACTTTTCTAGGTGTTATAGTTAAGAAGCTTATCACGTACCTGGTTGGAGACTAGATGCATGAGAAGGCCTCCCTTGCACCTCGTGTCCTAAGGACTCTGGAAGTGGGGACAGAGTCCTGACAGACAACGAGTGGCACGGGTGCCAGTGGTGTTATCATCGTGCAAGCTGAATATCTGGTTCTGCAGCAGAGCTGGGGTAAACCGAACTCCAGGGTCAACAGGCCGAGGTCACACCGAGCAGGCAGAGAAGGTACACAAGGATGAGGCAAAGGCAGTCCAGTAAACAAGGGCAGGTGGCAGGCAAGAACGGTCAAACAATCAGTGTTCAAGGGCAGGCTGCAGGCAAACAAGGTCAAAGTAAATCCGGGTGGAGGCATACTGGCAAGAATCACAAGAACTGGAAACAAGGAACACAGGACTTCAGGGCGGTTGAAGAGACAATCCAGCAATGAGGAAGTGTGCAGGATGAGCTTAAATAGGGAAGCCAATAGATGAAGAGCGTCACTTCCTGTGCGCCATTTGGCGCACTTTACCGTGCCCAGTCCATGGCGCGCGCATGTGCGCAAGTGTCCTTCGCATAGTATGGGAAATGGGACTTGGCGCAAAAGCAGCAGGTTTCTGACAAAGCTCTTAGGGAATGAAAATTATATGTACTACATGTGTTTACTCACATTTGGATGGTTGAAAGATCCCCATTTCAGTCAAGCAACCAGACTATGTGCCTGTGAAAAATATGGTTGTAGATGTGGGTCGCTCTCAGTGCTTGACACAATATCCCAGATAGTCCTGTCTGATATGGCGATCCACTTCCAGTATTGGATAGTAGCCGAGGTTGGGTCTAAAAAGTAAAGATCAAAAAGGAGGTCTCAAGCAGAGCCCGATGATGTAGAAGTTCCCTTTTTAATCTCTGTTTGTTTTTTGGCCTACAGCTTGATAATGGGTATTTGCATTATAAACATCAGTGCCAAGGAATCATCACCAAGAACCTGCTTTTGAAGACGATAGTAAATGATGGCATCGTGCACAGTATTATCCTTGAGGTGACAGCCAAAACTGCTAAGTTCCATGTGGACAGCATAGAATCTGAGCTGCCCCTGCCAGACTGCTCAGGACATTCATCTCACCTGAAAATTGGGGCAATTATACAAGAGTCTGACCATGTGTCTCAAGGATTCCGGGGCTGTCTGGATAACATCAGTATCAATGGACAAACACTGGATAGCCTAGGCCAGTCTATTTACCAGAAAGGCACATCACCATGCTGTGAACACAACCATGCTTGTAGACACAACCCGTGCCCCAGTGAGAAAATGTGTGCAGAAATGCCTGATGGAGGTAAGTGATTCTGACTGCTTTAGAAAGTTGGTTGCTTTAAATCATTAGCTGCCAAGACGTTAACATTCATATTATTTATTTCTCCAGCATATGCCTGCCTCTGCCATTCTCCCTTCCCTAGTCCCAGCTGTGTCCTGGGTAACAACCCCTGTGCCACGTCTTCTTGCCCACAGGGCAGAATTTGCTCAGCCATGTCCAATGGATTTGCATGTAGCTGCCCTCCGGGATACCAGGGTGAACGGTAAGATTGTCTTACAAGTTTTCTTACTTTGATTCAACTACAGCTAATCATTATGGTGTTTGGAGAAGGTGAGGGTTGAAGAGACCAAAGCTACATTTCTGTGAATCTTGCACCTTGCTTCTGAAGGTCCTCAAGCAGCTAGTTTAATACTTGAACAATCCACAAAATCATGCATGAATGCATGGAGAGAAAATGATGTACCTAGTTCATTGTTATGCTGGGCACACACCTTACAACCATCGCAAGACTTTTGTCTTGCGATGGTTGGAAGGTAATTTAAAAAAACGCACGATCTGCCTATCTTGGAAAGGCAGATCGTACTTGCAATGATCGGAAGCCCGCCCCGATGAGGAATGCCGAACGGTGCCGAATGGCGAATGGATGCTACACACCCAATGCCGCACGGATGTTACACACCCGCTGAAAATCGTACGATTCTCGGCGGGTTTTCGAACATGTTCGTAAGATAAAAGTCGTGCGACCTTACAGTAGTAGAGGTCACAAGGCTTCCACACACCTTACGTTAATCGTATGATCGTGGGATTTCCCACGATTATCGCACGATTATGGCAAGGTGTGTGGGCACCTTTATTCAGTCAGACATGAAAAACTAATTTAAGAATTTTACCTTTGTACACTGGTGATTAAAGCAAACCAGTCCCAAATGAATTCAAACCAAGCCACCAGCTGTCTTGTTTACAGAAAGCCAGAGCTTAAAGTGCATCTAAACCCAACATCGAAAATGTATATTGCAGCTTACCGGTCCTTGAGTGAGGTGACTGCATTCATTTTCTTTTTTCTGGTTTTCCCCTTACTTTTTTTAAATGTTTTATTTATTGAGTATTTAACAATATAAGAAGCAATAACAAAAGGGATCAGTAGGCACAGAATTTTAACCTTACTTTTTACCTGGTGATCTTGGGAATAATACACTTCCTTTCCTTGGGTGGCTATGCATACTCCTTCACTGTATCTATGGAGGGAGCCATGGTTGCCACCTAGGCTGGATTTCAAACATATGTACCTTTGTTCATCTTCATTACATGGCGGATGGGGAAATTAGTAGTTTATAAAAATAACTATAACATTGTTTTAGGTATATTCTGTAATACCTTATTAGCACAACCTAAATAATTTGACAAATTTCCCTCTTTGCAGATGCCAGATCGCCGTGAGAAGCTGCCTGGATGGCTTGTGTGTGCAGTCAACTGAGCCCTGCATCCCCAGCAGCACGTGTAACTGCAGTGACGCTAACAGCGGTCAGCTATGTATAGGGGGGAATATGCCCACTCCTGATAAGAGGTTCCTTATAACTGGTGTTCAGGAGATAGCTGAGATCCTTGGAGGAGTGCTTGCTGTCTTGCTATTAGTTGGGGTGTTTATCATCTTCAGAAAACGTCTGTGCCAACGTATTGCTACCCACAAGCCAGCTGCACAGGAGGATCCAGACCTGAAGCACTATATATCCAGAGACATAGGTGTGGGAACCCAAGCAACGTCCATGGAACTGAATATCCTTAGTCCTGCTGCACTGAATCAGCTGGATGCTGAAGGACAGCCACGAAGGAACCCTGTCCCAGAACTCCTTACCTTTTGCAAGCCCCAGACTAGACCAGTCGTATGCAGCGTGGCTCCAAATCTACCTCCTGCACCTCCGTCCAGCTCCGACAATGAGTCCATCGCCAAGAACAACTGGGACTGTGAAGAGAGCAGTAAGTGCCTATTCTTATGGTCCTGTAAGATCAGTTTAAGTCTATCTTTAACTTTTTTTTTAGTTTAGATTTCAGTAGGGAAGGGTTGGGCCAACAGTCAAATTTTGATTGCTGTTTGGGAGAGACAGTCTCCCTGGAGGGTACACAATTTGTCCTACTGACCATTGTTACCAGGACTGAAATTCAGAGAAAATCCAAAATGTTTAGTTTGTCAATGCAACAGAAATCTTCCAATGAGGACATTTGTTCCAGTTGCAGCTGTCTAAGGGGGATTTGGCTTTAGATATACTTTAATAAACTCACCGGCTCTATAGGCGGTCTTGCACAAATAGAGAGGCCCCATTTCTAGTGTGCTGTCTGTAGTGATAGAAGAATGCAGAGGAAATAATATAACGGAGCTCACTTCAGTTGGCTGCCACTCATTGTAGGCAGTGGCGTCACAAGGGAGGTGCGGGGGGTGCGGCCCGCACTCGGGTGACACCATTGGAGGGGTGACACCAAAATGACTGTAAGTCACCTCCCTCTGAAAAGTCGGGCGCTCGGTCATGGACCGAACGCCCGACAGTATCAGGAGAGAGGAGGGGACCCGGCGGCATACCTTATTCCACCGGGTGGCTGTCTCCTCCTCTCTATCTGCCGGCGCCCATCACCAACATGGCCGCCGGCAGGTATCAGAATACTGCCGCACGTGCGCGATGTGCGGGGTGACACTCGGACACCGCTCCGGGTGTCACCCAGCCTCGGGACACCCCTGATTGTATGCATGGCACAAACAAACAGACATGTCTGGGACATAATCTACCGGTCATGTCCATTTCCTGACTGCTAATCATGTGACCATTGTGTATACCATGGCAAAGAAAGTGCTTATGTAAGACAAAAGAGAATAGAAAATGGATTTATCAAAACGGGAGCAAACAGAATCTGGGGCAGCTGCCCATAGTAACCAATCAGCATCCCTCTTCAGTGTGTTCAGTTAAACTTTAAAAACTTCTGCAGATTCTGTCTGCTCCAGTTTTGATAAATTCCCCTCCATGGCTTCTCCTGTTGAAGGGTCAGAGATTTATCACCAAAACACATTAGTAATATTTATTCCAATAAGCATGATGGTCATGTCCTGGCAATCTGTTGTGCCTTCATGACAATTGTTTGCTGCTGGCGTCCTCTTGGGCTTGACACAAACACTTCCTATTGGCTGTCCAGTGACTGGGTCCTCTCAGGATCCAGAAGAGGAGTGACGTCATTGCAAGGACACAGTAGGAGACCAGACAGTGCGGGACAATTTGCAGTGCTGGATTAGCAGTCCACCATACCTGGAAACGGGACCTGAAGGGGGGACTTAGGTTAGTATAGCTTGCTTCACAAGGTATGGTCAAATAAAAAACCTGCAGAATGGGTTCGAGGGGGGTGGAAATGAGGCATGGAAGTGGGGTTCATATTTTACCATGAAGGCCCCCCCTCCAAGAAAAAGATTAGATACTTAAAAAAACCAAAAACATTTTAGAGAAAAAAAAAATCAAACCAAACCCCCTCCTCTTCCATGTCCCCAGCTGCCCCCCTTCTCGTCCCCAGCTTTCAGCTCCCTGACCCCACACTCTCCTCTCACATGTCCCCTTCATAATCTCAGCTCCCTATAACTCCCTCTTCGTGTCAGCAGTACGCCTCTGACACCCAGGGAGTTGGAGGTTTTCATAGAACACAGGCAGTTCTACGATCGGCATTCCCTCTGCATGATTAAGGGGCGTGGATAACTGCCTCGATCATTCTTCATGCTGCGCCCGGAACAGGGTGAGGGGCGCAGCGTAAAGCACGCAGGGCCCAGGACAGGAGGAAGAGGTCCCCGTACTGATATTAGTGGTTACCGGGATATTAAATATCCTGGTAATCAGCGGTTACTACGGGCCCCGTCCTCCTGTCCTGGGCCCCCTCTAAGTGGCGGAACTCCAGGGCCCGGTCGCGGCTGCGACCTCTGCGACCCTGGTAGTTCCGCCACTGCGTTACATTGCTCAGAGTTGTAGTTTAGACCAGCGGTTGCCAACTTTTCGGACCTCATGGACCACTAAATTCATAATTTTAAATCCCGTGGACCACTAATATGAATTTTTGAAAAATATATTCATATTCTTTGTTTGAGGAAGTACATCCTAGTACATTGAGGAAGTACATCCTAGGGTCATCTTCAATACGTAAGTATACAAACGTCTAGGTGGATATAGTTATTAGGAGTGGGAAAAAGCTGATGGAAATTCAATATAGAATTACAGATGTATTTTTGACCATAGATCCCCTTTAAGAGATTTCTGCTCTAGGGAAGAAAAAGCTTGTGTTTCTTATGATAGAATGTTAGTTACATTTCAGTTTACAGTTTACACAGGCAGGTAACTCCTGTAAGTGTAGTATGTAGCAATGTAGGACATTGTTGTACACTGAGCAGCGTTGAGAGTTTGCTGACATCTGTTGGCTGATGTGAATGACAGCAGCGGAGATTTTCCTGTTTTCACTTGCTCAGAGCCTTGGAATCCATGGCGGTGTACTTACATGCTTGTGATTGACAGGATTTGCTCTCTGTAAAGGCCAGGAATGTAAGGGGTGACTTTGCCACTTTTGTTAGCAACTCCCGGGAGTCGGGGGATTGTGTAATTATCACACATTTCAGTGCCATGTACACTGACAACTAGTCTAACAAACATGAGAATGTGATTTTTTTTCCTCCGGGCAGAAACATTTGTGCTGGTTTGTAGTAGGCAGTTATCATATTGATCGACATTATGGCTCTCGGTATAGTAAAGGGAAAATGGTGAGTTATTTGACAAGTAGTTGCGACGTTAACAAATTGGGTGCAATTTTTATGATTGTCTTAAAAAATTGTTATTAGCCTATATATATATACAGTATATATATATATATATATAAATGAGCTCTACAATTAAATAACTTAAAATGTATCTACACATGAGGAGAAGAATATTATATATTGAAGCTTACCAGTCTTTACATGTGGCGGCTGCAGTAGTTTTCCTTTCTTCAGGTATTTTTCCTTTATTTTCTCCTGGTGATCCTGCCAGGAATGCATTTTATGTAGTAGGGTGACTACGTTCACTCCCCGTACTATACTGATGGAAAAGCAGTGTTATCATTCTAGGAAAGGAAGGAAACCTCTCCCTCTTCTCATCAACATAACATAGGGACGGTGTCCTGTAGTTCACAAAAGTGAGCTTGAGATAACACTGCAAAGTGTACAGGAACATAGAAGTTCTCTGGATTTCTGGCAGGATCACCAAGTTCATTGTTAGGGCTTACATACACTTTTAGGTAGGTGTATTAGTGCTGTGTGACACTGGCAGTTCTTCCACTGGTGACACCCCAGGTTACAAGGAAGGTTTGGTGATAGGATCACGGGGGTGTGGGGGGAGTAGAATGTGACAGGATCCTTTGTACTGAGACATCACTCTCTGCTCTGAATACTAAGAATGCTGATCTTTGCACCTCCCGGCAGTGCACGGTATTGCAAAAGCATGCAATGCGGTTGCATGTGGTGAAAAATAATAGTGCATTAATACATTTTCTTTACCCCATGGCACCACTGTGCATGCTATTGTGACTGTGACTTGCAGCGCTGTGCAGTGGACGGCTGCCAGGAAGTGCATTGGGGTGTCATTCACAATGAATGGCAATGCAACACAGCAGCACACCTAGTGTGAGGTGCATTTCATTGTGCTGTGCGATAGCCTGTGCTAAACGCATGGGTACTGTACCTATAGTTCAAGGCTATAGTGTTAACCGCCCAAAAGTCTGTTGTTTTCAAGCAGCAATCCACTGAAATCACTAAATACAACCAGTTAAAATTTTTACATAATTTACTTAAAAAACACATCGTAGCTGTTAGTCTCATCACTCTCACTATGTTGTGTAGTGTGAGCTCACTGCTTCTATGCAGTTTATCAGGAGTAGGCAACCTATGCAGGCCAGCCGTTGAGGAAATACAAGTCCCATGAGGCATTGCAACGCTAACAGCCATAGACATGACTCCCAGAAGCAGAGGCATGATGGGGTTTGTGGTTTCTCCACAGCTGGATTGCCAAGCTTGCCTACCGCTGCTGTTGACTAAAGTACCCAGTGCCATAATGGGGTTGACTTTTGCTTTTTTGTCCTTTCTTTCTGGCTTATAATTTAACCCCTAAAATGAGATGGAATGTAATTTATTTGCCCACTTAAATACAAATATTAATTAGCGGAGATCTGATGAAGTCAGAAATTGTAATGAAAACGTTTTCTGATGTAGACTAGATGTGTGATATATCTACAAATAGTGCACGCTGGGTGTGAGAGCGGTAAACTGTGTCTAAGGTGAAAAAATACATATTCTATACAATGTCTCATGTTGTCCTGCATGACTGGTGTACAGGAGCAAGTCACGGCTTGTATAAAATGTAAACTCACATTTCTTCCAGTGCCTGAAGTCACAGTGAAGTGTGATTATCTGGGGTGTGAGCCCATATCTATTGCATTTTATTATCTGTAATGCCTTTGTGTAAGCAGCTTGGATGTGCTAAGATGGAATAGGAGGCAGATCAACCTGTGCTAACTTGTAACAAATCCAAGAGTTACAATGTTAACATCCCGGGCTCAAGTCCTACCAGGAGGATGTATGCTCTCTTTGTGTTAAATGTGGTTCTTCTGGGTGCTCCAAGTCCTAAACCAAAGCTTACTAGTAGTTTAACTGCCAGGGAATGAAATCTACGGATTGAAATCCACATTCCACAGAATGAGCACTAGAGCACATTCCACTAGAAGGAGCAGGCAATCAGTACAGAATGCTAATGCTGGGCTTTCTAATGAGAAAACCCAGCATGCAGTACACAGTAAAGCTTTCCACTAATCACTTTGTAAAATAAGGATCTATGATCAGGGATAATAGATACTGTGACAGGCCTCTCATGGTTTGTACAACATTTCCAATCTCTCTCTCTCCGTCTTACACATACACTACAATTCTCTCCATGTTACACATGTTTCCTTTATTCTTCACTTGGCGGTTCTGCCATTACCACACTTTATATCCTAGGGAGACAACTTTTACTCACTGTCCCGTATAAATGGAAGATCATCGTTGTCACCTTATATATCCTGTCACAGGATATATATGTAATATATTAGAAATGAAGAACACCTTCCCTTTTCCTTATGTCC